TAGTTGGCGTAGTGCTCAGATCCGACGGAGACAAAGGCGAAGTTTCCTATTCCAATGGGATGTCCCAATAATCGAGGTGGACGCATGGCTATATTCATGTGGCAACTCCTTCCAAAGGTTTTCCTGGAAGGGAGATTGTCTCGAGTTCTATAGAACACTAGAATCGAAGACATTTGCTTATCGGATACAGAGTGAGGCAGGAACCGACGGAGAGTGTGTTCCCTCAGAGACAAGCAAGGAAAAAGGTGACACGTCTTTCAATTCGGAGTGGTAGCACTGTTGTACGAATTAAAGATTTGCACTCTGTTCTCTTTCGATCCCAGACGCAGAGTTCAGACTGGTATTGAACGTGTTGGTGCTTGCCCTCGTGTGTAACACGCTTGGTGGTGAATTTCGCTGCAGTAGTCTATAACAATTGTGCTGAGCTATAGGATAACCGTACCTTGTGCCCCATCAAGCACTCGCTCTACGCAGGCCTGGCATACTACTCCTCGCAGTCGCTCGCTTCGCACTCCCTGGAGCGCGTGTCAGCGAAGTCAAGGAAGACAACCACAATTGACCGGTACTCTGAGTCTGATCCTTCCTCGCAACCTGACCCGACAAGAAGGATCTTTTCGGGGGTCAAATCCGGAACAGTCGTCGTCGCAAAGCTGGACTCCAAAGTCAAATTCCATCCTGCATAGCGGCTTAAGTGCAGAATAACAACCAATGATAAGGCACTTACCAAGTCTGTCCAGAATCCATGGAATGGGAAATCGAATTGACCCCAGCTTCGTCGCTTGTGGCAATGATGATACTTCCAGAATCCTCAAATTCATTTGTGCACGTCGTTTGCATTCGCGATGATTGGTGCGAGGCCAGCACCTTTAATGCTGTACAGCCTCATAGTCAATGAATCCAGCCTCGCTTCGCTTGGTGTCTTTCAAACTCTACAAAAAAATGACCCATTCGAGTTGGCCACGAAGAGCGTCCTGATTCGTCCTTGATCTTGAAATTCCGCACCAATAGCCAGCGAAGTCATCCTAGGAGGTTTTGGAAGGATGTTAAAGAATGGGTTGGGTCGGCACGGAACAGAGGCAACTGCTGAGATCGGCGGAAGCCGTACTGTACGAATAGAAAATTCCCACGACCCGTACACTGAAGACGCAGTATCGTCAAGACAAAAGAACACCCTGGCACTTTTGTATGCGTGTTTCATGTCTCCACGTTCCCTCTTCCCATTACTCCGAGATAAGACAAACCAAGAGCTCAATACGTAGCCCAATAACACAATTATTTGGGGATTCAACCCAGCGAAAGTCACGGTTGCTCTCTCCTTCCACGTCGTCTCGCAAGCTTTCTCTGGCCAGTATACGACCATTCCATTGATCTTTTGTCCCACCCACCTACTCCCTACAGTGTTTGGTGTACCAGAATCGGCTTCTGGCTCGTTTTCTGGTCCCCAGGCGCTCAAGACTTGGGCCTGCCGCTTTGTTTGGGTTCCCATTTCATCGGACTGCATCCTTAGCTGAAAAATCAACCTGTATTCAGGTTGGTCTGCTCCTTCCCGACGCGTACCCAAACTCATGGCTTCGAAACGCCCTCATCTTTCGACACACCACTCAAATACATTAGTATTCGAGTGCCCTACTCAGCCATACCTCACATCCTGACATTCTCTACCCTAGACTAGGCGAACTAGCTTACTTGCTGACACCAGTAAACTTCGCTGTCAAGGACGCAGCCGGAGAAGGCATTGCCAGTATAACTCGTTCAACTCACGGACGGAGACGTAGACACTAGCTCGATGTACTAGATCTCATTTCAGGTACTGGCCCATTTTTGCCAGCAACTAATAACGCAATGATGTATATCTCAAACGGAGAAGAAACAAGGGTGGAGCTGATATCTCGGGACTAAAGACATAAGAAACGAAGCGGTTGAACAATGATCAATAAACTTCTTTTTAAGTACGTAGTGCGTCTATGCATAGGGAACGGTAACGCCCGTGCCGACAGTGCGACCTGACATCGTAGCGCCATACCAGTCGCTATCATCCGCCCAAGGCACCTCAAACCCAGCGGGAGGAGGCCCATTCAAAGTCTTCCAAGACCCGTCAGTCAAATAAACCTCCGACGTTCCATCATTGTACGCAATCAGCGCACTGGCGGCAAGGGAGACCTTACCATTGGCCTGAGTACTCGCTCCATCGACAGCAATGACGTTCGAGCACAATCCCAACTCGGGAATCGAATAGGCTTGCATTTTTGTCCAGTCCGATCCACTACCTATGTTCTGGCCGTTGACGTAGAGAGAATACGAGTCCTGCCTAAAAGCAGAGTGAGATATTTGATGAATGAGAAAAATGAGGAGACGTATGCGGAGAGAACGACCTTGCCGCAGACAGCAAATTTCCCATAGGGTGAAGTGATAGTCTTCCGGAAGGGCCTGTGTCTGAGACCGTCAGCACTCCCGCTCGAGACACTCTCGTTCGTCTGGACCCAAGGCACCCCGGTCATGTTCAAGGCGCGAGGAAGGATAGGCGACTTCCAAAATGTGTTCGCTGTGGGTCCTTCCGATACAGTAGGGGTCCAGTCTGAATCGTTATAGCTTGGGCTTGTCCATCCATCTGGAGGAGGAGCTTTCAAGGTCTTCCAAGTATTGTCGGTGACGAGTGTTTCGGTGGTCCCGTCCGCATAGTCCACGAGGATGGTAGCTATAAGTCCAGCAGGTCCACCGTAATTCCCTACAGAAATGGCGAAAACGTTGTCGCTCTCTGACTCCATGGCAACAGTGTAGACGAAGGAGGAGGCCGGTATGTAGGGAGGGTTTGTACGCAGGCAATGCCTCGATCCATTTGCTCCTCCGTTGACGAAGAGTGAACAGTAATCATCACTAGAAATATTTTGAGTACAAGTTCATAAAAACAATCGAGGGATACACTGACCAAGAAACAATTATGGTTGCGCATACCGGACATTTCGTGCTCGAGGAAGGGACTGCCATACGGAATGGCCGCACCCCGGCGGGCGCACGAATGGAATTTCCCGATCCTGTCTGCTCTCCCGTCCAGACCCACGTGGATTTGGTGAAGTCCAGGACGGGGGCAACATTGCGGGCATCCAACGATCCCAAGGTGTCGCCTAGATAGAAATGATTGAGTTGATGAATAGTACACAACAGAGCACAACTGACCTGCGCCGCCAGTGGGCCCTGCGCTTACGATGCCAACAAGGGCGGGTAAGAGGATCAAAACTAAGGAGCATCAGCCATACGGATTAAAGCAGGCAAGAGTCAGCTCTCACTCTTGGAGAACATCTTCGATAGAACAGGGATAGAGCTTTCCTCGATGATGACTTCTAGTAGGATTTTGGATCCCTTTATACCAGAGATAATTTGCTGAGACATTCTAGATGCATCGATGAATGCACGCCATCGAGCTGCCAAGCACGGATTGACAAGACTGACTAAAGGATCGTCTTCCATTGATCAACCCTGTCGCGATATATTAGCACATTCAGACACAAGAAGCGAGTATTATTTGCGTACAATTCACTCGTACCGCCAGGCTGGAGTGTACATTCAATGGCATAGTCTAGTGACGTCCGGATTCAAGAGTTGACTCTTTCTGTACTGTCCCCTTGGACGGACGAGTGACTTGTAGCCAAGGAGACCGTCTTTGACCGCCAAAGAAGTTGCACGATGATTATACGTTGAATAGAGCATGGCAGCTCCCAGCCCGGGTGTCAGCCAAAATCGTGAGAGAGCGTGGAGTGGCATAATGCATATGTGCGGTTCTTGAAGGGGCATGCCGTACGTATTGCATCTTGCTGATAGGCGGTCGAGCGAAATGAATGAGCGACCACGATTCAAAGAGAAGAAGAAAGGCCGGATGGCTTTTCGCAGACAGATTTCACCGCATCGGCCCGAGCGCCTAGTCGAGAAGAGAAGTTCAGTATTACGCGGCAACCGATGGAACTCTGTTGTAAACGACAGGAGCACTGAACTTACGGGAGAACAAGTGCGAGGAACGACGTGTATCAGAGGAGAGGCGCCTAAGTGAAGGAAAGAGGGAAAGAAAGAAAGGAGAGACATTTGTGAACTAGCGAGTCTTTATACGTGCGGGAAAGAGGTATCGTACGAAAACGGAAGCAAAAATTAGTCCGTAAGTGACATACGTATGCGTCATAATCTGTGGTAAGTACATCATTGTAGAAGATGGGCTTACAACCGGCTGCTTCAGCAGACAAGCACTGAAGGAAAAAGATAATGCAATATCTTTATCCTGACAGAGGATTCTTTCGGAAAAGTAAGGAAACAGTCAAAGACTTGAGAGCAACGAGAAGGGTGACTAGTGGTCATAGCGTAGCCGCTACATGTGAATATCACGTGATCACAACTCGGATTCAAAATTTGCATCATGATTATCTTCTGATGCATCCAAGACGTATCACATCGTCTGTTACTTATCAGCACCCTTCCAGCTTATTAATGTAATCTTGCTGTTGACTTACCGTCACTTTTTGCATTTGTAAAGGCCTGATTAACACCGCTAAAGCTGTTGAGTGAGAATAGCAGCTATGGCAGGTACTTATCACTTTTAACTTGCGCTGTGTGAACATGGTAGATCAGACAACGCCAAATTTTGGCAGCTAGTCATGAGGACATGAAAACAGACACCATGTATAGAAATTCATTAACCGTTCCGGCCTGCCCTTGGCGGCACCAACCTACCTATGAAGATACGACATCACACTGGAATATAAGCAAGTTCGGATGTCAAGTCTCGATTGGTGTCCCATATTACATAGGTTTCAAACCATTGTGCAAGCATGTGTGATCCTCACAAGATCCTCACCATGAAGAGGACAATTTCTCTTCAAGTCGGTACCACCGATTCCGTCTTTGTAATGGCAGATGTCAAATTCCACTTTGTCTCTTAAATTGTTGAAGTTTCTTGGCCCCCTAGGATAAACAAATACCGATTGCAAGAAGAAAGAAAAGATGAAGCTCTGGCACATTTCGGATACGGGGAATCGAACCCCGAGCTGCCGCGTAACGTCGACCAGATCTGTTCTTTGCATGAGAGGCGGCAATGTTAGCCGTTACACCATATCCGACCTCCAATTTTGATGGACACACACGTTCATGTTTAATCACATTTTATGTAATCTTCCAAAGACTGGGAGGTAACCCTCTCTAAATTTTATCGTCTTCTTAGTCTGACCTTCCAACCTCACATGGGTATCTGAGAAGTACTTTGAAGAAACCTTCATGATCATCATCGTCTTCCTCGCGTGGAGCCCATTCGCCAGAAGGTTCAGGGCCTGGTCTCTCCTGATGCAGGCACTGTGACGAGCTGCTACCGCAAATTTTCTATGGGGTGAACATAACCAGAGCATATGATCTGGTGATTCTCAAATCTCGAGACCTACCTTGCATATTCGGTATGTAAGTGCTTGAAATTCCTTTCTCTGGGTACTGGTGCCTGTGACTTATATCCGTTTAAGCATCCGAAAATAACGACGACGCGTCTTAGACGCGCTAGAAGATTCGAACACGAGCTTCTAGGGCGTGGTATTCACGTGTACCGCAGAGCTGGCCAGTTTTATCCCTTTTTGAATTTGAGCTCTTACAGCTCGAACCCAACCTCTATTCCTACCCCTCGGTATCACAGGACCGTAATCAACCCGGTTGTCTCGACAAGTCTTCTCTATCGTGTAGCACGAAGATTTGCCAGTGGTAGAAAAAAATCACGGTACGACTCTGGGGTCCGGGGATGCGCGTTGAACGTTTCGCTCGAACGCCTATTAGCAAGACACAATACGTACGGCATGCCCTTCAAGGACCGCGCATACACATCCGATGATTCATTTTTTGCTCTATTTTGGCTGGAACTTGCACTGGGGCCCGAGGCTTCCGCTACGTGCAATGTCTGCTCACCGTACAACTTCTTTTATCTGGACGGCATCGTTGTCCAAGGTTCCCTCGACCCCATCCTTCTAAAATGACAGCACGGATTCCAGAAAGGCTCGGAGGCGTCAAGGCTTGACTGTGCCATTGAATGCACACCCTAGCCTAGCGGTACGAGTGAATTGGACGCAAAACAACACTCGCTTCTCGTCTCGTGTGCTAATATAGCATAACAGGGCTGATCAAAGAGACGACGATCCTCTACGTAGTCGGTCATTCCGATCTGTGCTTCGCAGCTCGATGGTGCGCATACATCGTCGAGCAAAATTCTAGACCCAGATCCGATTCTCATTCATATGGCTAATATTCTATTTCTATTAGTTTTGTTCCTCCTACCCGCTCGCCCTTTTTGGCATGTGTAAACGCGGTGCAGGTCAGTCGCGCCGTATGGTGCACTATTCACCAGCTTCATCATTTCCATCTAGACAAACGTTGGATGCCCGTCCTCTACGTCACCGATACCCACCCATTCTGTCCTTCACATCTATCGTCGGGCAAAATTCTATACCCAGATGTTCTCCAAGAACGAGAGCCGATTCTCGCCCTCTCTCATTCATATGGCTAATATTCTATTTCCATTAGTTTTGTTCTTCCTACCCGCCCGCCCTTTTCGGCATCTAGACGTTGCCTTGGTACGATCCCTGGATGCCAGCGATGTCGCCCCCGTCCTCGACTTCACCCATCCCACCCGAATCTGGATAGAGAGCAGATTGGACGCGTCCGACGTCGCCCCACTAAGGCGATCCCTTCCCTCCTCGGACCAGCACCGAATGTCCGGCGTGCGCGACAATTCTTTCTCCTATTCCGACAAGTCAATTCATAACTTATCCTTGTACGCATGTACTGCACATAGTGACGATCACTATTCCCTCTTCTCCAACGGACGAGAAATCGGGCTTGCCAACTGGCATTCCACCACCTCACCTCCTTCATATTTCCTACGTCTTCACTGCCGGTTTGGACCCAGAAGGCCATAACGTTGCTGCCTGCCATCTCTGGAAAGAACGTCGGCGGACCAGCTGGACAATGCTTGTGGACTATCCGGATAGTACCACCAAAACGATCCGTTAGCCTACTTGAAAGACCCTAAGGCTGATCCTCCCGGCGGACGGACAACCTCAAGCTACAACGATTCAACATAGACTCCCGTTCTTATCTCCGTACTCCCTAGATAACAGTTCCACCGGGCGGCCTTCGTTTGCTTTCTTAGCTGTTTGTGCAAAACGGATCTTCGCAGATGTATCTTTTTGTGCACCGACATGATTCACGACGATATGGCGCGTCCTCTTTGTTTGAGAATAACAGCTCCGTTGGGTGCGAACGTAGTCGGGCAGACAACGCCAAAAATTTGCGTCACGAGGATGTGAACGGGACAGCGTGTTACATGTATGGGGACCTATCAATTTTCCTCGTGATGGCAGATGCCAGATTCCAATTCATGTCTCTCAAACCGTTAAGCTTGACTGCGAGTTTAAACTCTTTGGAATAAAATTGAAAACAAGCAAATACATTCAAAGAAAAAGAAAAGCTTTCCCGCAATTCGGATACGGGGAATCGAACCCCGAGCTGCCGCGTATATGATCAACCTAGATCCATGAGAGGCGGCAATGTTAGCCGTTACACCATATCCGATGGTTCTCAAATGTCGAACTGTAGAGAACTCCTTGTACAGATAGTAAGGCTGAGGGACACACGAAAGGGGCGATTCAGGTGCTGGACTGAGGAATTGCCGTTACATGGTGTGCTTCCTCAACGGTCAGCGAGACATGGAGGTGTGACTTGGATGAATCTTTGTCGTTTGTCTCCAACTCGGAGAATGTGGTGGTGATGGACGGGCAAAAATAACGGCAGATATATAGACGTATCTAGGAGGCTCTATACTGAATCTATGCCTGCGCCAAGGGTGAATAACATCGATGAGGACGGCAAAGAGGACGTACGGCTACACCATCTTCATGGGCACCTTTTCGTGTTCCTTTTCCTCCTGCTCCAACTTTGCTTGACGCGCATTCACCGCACTGAGGTACGTGTCTACCACCCTATCAGCCGCAGTCCACACACACAAAAAAAAAAACACAACACGCACTCCAGAACAAACTGACCACACTAACAACTACAAACCGCATATGATGTGGCACCAGCGCAAAGTTGATGATCTGCGTGGGTATGAAGACGCCCCAATTGCGGAGGATCGTCGGGACGTATGCGGCCTGGATGCGCGGGTACGCTTCCTGCGGGACGCCCTCCAGCACGGACATGCACGTGAAGAAGGCGCCGACAGCAAAGGGCGTGAGCACCGCCTGGTCCAACCACACGCGATACACGATCGCCCGCGTCGGCGAGGCGAACTGGATACGGTTGAGGAACTGGTACCACCACGTCATCACCGGCCCAAACAGCGCGCCGCCGTAGAAGGTCAGCCGCACGGTGCGGGTGAGGTCGTGATGGCGGAACCCTCTTTTCTCGATGAGCTGTTGCGCGATGATGTCGCCCGTGCCGAAGAGGAGCGCGGCGGTGCCGCATTGCGTGAGCATCGGCCGGCGGATGAGGAGCGCGCTGTCATGGGCTTAGTGGGTAGTTGAGAGAGAGAGAGAGAGGAAGGGGACAGACTTATACGCGCGGAAGAGAGAGGCCATGAAGGAGAGAAGCAAGGCGGGGCCCCAGATAGGGCCGGTATTGCTCCGCCGTTGACCCTGAATTTGTCTTTCGAAATTCGCGTCAACCTCCGCCTTACGTCAAAGGGATCCCACCTTCAGTCTGGACGACATACGAAGACCAGTGGCAGGTCCCGAAATTGGTATCTCAACGTCGTCGAATCAATGGCTTAACGGTTCCTTCTTCGCTGCTGTGTTCAGTAACCTCTACTTCTACTACATCCATAGGAGCTCGCACACGTTCTTGCGCAAATTCTGGATACACGTTGAGATGTTTTACCAGTGCTTCAACTTGATTTCCAGTTGGTTCGGTCTGGTGGGTTTACGTTCATCGAGTGCCGGATGCTTTTGAAACTAATGATAATCTCCAGGCTAATTATTACATCGCGTTCGTCATCCTCTCTGATGCTATGGAAGACGATAGCTTTGGTCTCAAAGGCATTCACGTCTTTAATGACATCATCAACTTCATTCAGGCGTGTCCATCGAACGGACTTTCCAGGATACGACTAAGATTGATGTTCCTGTTCTACCTGACTGACTAGTTACGCACGACCTTGTACGCATCTGCCCTCGAAAACCCAGTACATCACAGAACTCTCTATCTGACGGACGGGGTCGTATACGCGCGTCCATCAAGCATCCTTTGCGCTACCTATTTTCCTTCTTGCCTGTGAATAAGCTCGTCACGGAACCCTGGAACGCATGTCTCACAACGTAGCGCGTCGTCACGTAGAGAGCTGTCTCTATCCATTTCGTACTCTTCCCCGTCGCCTGCTCAGGCTCTTTACCACCCCCTTCTGCCCCGGTAAGACCCAGGATCTCCGTGCACGAGTGGCCACAGAGTCGCCCGTGTGGACGAGATGGTACTCCATAATCCTGTCCCTTTTCTAACACTCTCGCCCCAAATCAAGCATTTTGAATTCAGTCCGCCTTTGTAAACACCGTACGAACTTGGTTGTCGTTCCAACAGCACGACCGCCGGGGGGTCTCGCGGGGTCCTCTCGTGCACGGACGAAGGGGGTATCATCAATCGCTAGCGCTCTTTTCCTGCACTTGTGCGTAGCGGATAAATTCGCCTTTCCTCGTTCTTTCTCAGGTTTCCTCTCTAGCCTCTTCGCAAACGGTTCTTCACGCAATACCGAATCAAGTTCGAGTACCATCCATCTATTGTCAGCCACAGGCATCAAGGTCTGCCTTGCAGATTCGCGCGAATCCCCTGCCCCAAGCCTAATTCGTTCCTTCCCTTCATCCGTCCTTTTCGCAGTGCATCCACGGAAATTCGGCTTTCAGCCTCGAATGAGGCGTGCACTCTGCGGCCATGCCCTTCCTTTTCACTGGGCTGTGGATTAGAGGCTTGCCATCTCTCTCAGTGTCTTGTCCTATGAATGCGTCGGTATCGGTATCAGTATCAGATATGGTATGACGGCTAATATTTCCGCCTCTCATCAGGGTTCGATTCCCTGTCTGGTTATACCGGGCCTCGACACTTAAACGTTTTGGTAAAAAATCCAAATGTAAACCGCCGGATTGTAGGGCATCGTCACGCAAGAGAACTGCTTCCATCTATTTCACCTCCACGGATATCTAGCTCGCGGCATCCGCATCCCCTCCTTTTCACTGTGGGCTAGACCTGACTATGGGAGCTTCCCTCTATATCATCAATTATAGATGAGAATTGTTTCGGATATGGTGTAATGGCTAACATTGCCGCCTTTCATAGTATTTGATTGGGTTTCCGCGGCAGCTCGGGGTTCGATTCCCCGTATCCGAACTGTATCTGTATTCCCCAACGTTTTACTGGTTCCAAAACTTTTAAGTTATAACTCGTTACTTGTACAGGATAGGGCAGTGCACTAAACCTCCAAGGGAGGGTTTGATACCGTTTTGTACCCACCCTCCCTGGAGGTTTCTTACCGGTCATGGAACCATTCATGTGATCGGCACAGAACCATTTTTCCAAATTCTTCTGTACGACGCCGTGACGCTGAGCTGGCCCAGTGTCGTACCTCAAATACTCATGAATTCTGTCCCAGTAGTCACCAAAACTCTCTGGCTATGTCTTCTTGCTTCTTACTGCTTTGCCAAGTGAAATCACAAAAAAAATCGTGGTAATAGTGTCATGTGGTCGGTAAGTTACCTCAATGAAATATGCTCCACTGACCTGTGGTTTCTTACCGGTCCGAAACTGGGGTGTATCAAAACTGGGGGTTTCGTGCGCAACTCTACTGGGCAGTGGGCCTTGAGGCCTGGGAAGTGGGCGGCAGGATCCCAATCGTCGTTTGCTCTTTCTGTATGTACCCGTGTTCACCACCCACCTTTGATAAGCAAGAGTCTCTACCTGCTATCATGTTTTCGTGGCATCACAAAGGCAAAGACAAAGAGCACGTACCAAGCAAAGCTGAACTCGCATCGTAAGAGGCATTATCGCACGATAGAGAATCGGCGACCTCTGGCCTTGCTCTACGATCATGTGAGTCGTATGTTTTGTTTGTTGCATGGTCGCTGACGGGTGTAGTTTGGGGCTGCTATTTTTCTCGAACCGACGTGGGATGTGATGCATTGGTGGACAAGGCCCACAAGCGAGCTAGATCCAGCACGTTTGGGGGATTACTTGTTCACATGCCCGACAATCTGCCAAAGGAGGGTGGCATTCCGATCCCTGCTAAGCAGTCCGAAGCGGCGCAGAACGCGCTGGTCGAGATTGTGGGAGTGTTTGCGCCGGCGTTGGTAGAGTATGTGGAGGATTTCTCGGACAGCTATTTGCCTGTTCACTACGGCACGCAGGAGGAGGAGGAGGAGGAGGAGGAGGAGGAGGAGGAGGAGCTGCTGCTGCCGGAAGTAGACAGTGAGTAGGATGACAGTACTATTTCATACCCAACCTCGGGCTGTAAAGTAATAGACATTGGGTGTCATTGGCCATCCTAGAAGTGCTCTCGTTCTCGTTTGTTGGGTCTCGTGTGGTTGCACTGAGTGGCATTTCATACCCGACCTCGGGCTGAAATAAGACAGTAGTGGTCTAGTTGTTGTCCTTCCCCTAAAATTGAAAGACTACGTATTCCGGTTCCATTGGTGCATGTATGTACTTCTTTCTCGATCTATTTGTGACTATGACGTCGATGAACATCATATGCAGATAAACCAGAATCGACTCACGTCTGTGCGATTCGCCTCTAAACACCTCCAGACGTTTGTCGTATGCCTCACCCCTCTGTGTGCACTCCATCGGCCCCAAGCTTCATTTGGGCCTGATGTGCTTTCCGAACTGCCATCAGACAGACTCGCCAAGATGCGATCAAGTTGTCGGCGCAGGTAAAGGTACGGCATTCACATCTCTCGCCTGATTTGATGTTCACGAGAACTGCTTCTGCCGCGCCCATTCTATGCACTTTCATCGCTCGCTCTTACCGATACTTCCGAGTCTGTGCTGGGAAGACCAAGTTCCCCAGACGAGGGTTGCCATACACAACAACTTCTCTGAATATACCCTGCTTCCGTCTTCCGAGTTCTCCGGCCAAGGAGCGCGAGTATCTGAGATTGGAGATGGTCCAGGAGGGAGGAGATGGTACTCCAAAGTCCTGACCCTTCTCTCTATAATCAGAGTCGTCGAAATACTCACACCAGCACGCACATCCGTCAAGCATACTTTGTGCTACTCATTTCCTGAATCCTAGGACCTGTCTGTTTGTTCATGAAGAAGGTCACGGAACTCTAACAAGGGAAGCTCCTGGTTATATAACGCAAATAAAGAGTCAGATGAATGTCTCGTAACGAATCAGCCTCCACTCTACACTTTGTGTTGTGCCTGTTGACAGACTCGCTGAGCTCGTGAACATCCTCTCCAGCATCTGTCTTCAAAGAGGCTTTACAGAGCACATCATTAATGCTGAGATTTTTTCCATGGGATGGCATCTTTATGGTGGAAGGATGGTTGGTAGTTGATAATGGACGAGCTCGTGATGAGACAGTTTAAATATTCCAGGAGGCACCCCGGAAGTTGCGTCCCGGACGTCGAGGTTCGAATGGGAAGAAACTGAGTAACAAGTAACAAGCATCATGTCCACCTCCCGCGAAGCAAGGAAAGTTGAGTAATGGTTACAAAATTCACAGTACCCTCTATCGTACCTAGGACCCCTGGTTATTCCTACTGAAGCTGGTTGAGAAGTTCGAATGGGTTTGACCGCAAAAGTAGAAAATTTTGGTACTTTCCCGGACAAAGGACTGATTAAAGTCTGCTGCTGTCACAATGGCCTGACCCATATCACCCAACTAGAAAATGTATATTGGCATACAGCAGCCCAACAATGAAATCTGCGCAACAAGCCATACAATGAAAGCACGATTAGTTGAATTTGGGTTGAAAACAAGCGTTTCCGGCCATTCTAGATGAAATTTGGACAGGTTAGATTGAGTCCAGACAAATTTCTTTCGGCCTCAGGCCTTAGGTTGAACGAAAAATCTGGACAAATTTCAACTTCCGTGGTCGACAATTTTCAAAATAAGCAACATTCCTGTCTCAACCTCAGTAAGAATAATCAGGGGTCTCTCGTAACTTGTACTGAAAATTTCGACACATTGAAGGCTCATGACAGGCATTTACATGCGGGCGCTTACCACAGCGCTTCCAACTGGAGGATATTCAAGCTATATTAATATTTCTTACTCTAATCAAACTCGTGTATGTTACAATTCTCGGAAACTTATGCTATCGATATCACTGGGTGCCTGTTTGTTTCAATTGGCTACCCAGCTACTTGGAAAGCCAGCATGATCTAAGATGTCGGTAATGGAGACTCAGGTTCTCCAAGGGTTTTAGAAGGTATGTTTCCTTTCTCTGACTCTCAACCCCACCATTGGTGTTTGTACCACCATTAATACTTAATTAATAAGTCTGTTGAAGTTTGGCTTTTACAATTCACGCAGCCCTGGTCCTGGATGGATTCCCAAAATCAGTGTTTGGCCAGTGGCACTCGCACATTACTCGCACATCAGTTGCAATCATTTATCGAAGCCTTTTTCCATGCTTTGAATGAAGGCAATAGCATTGCTGCGGCAAGGAGGCCTCGAGGTTCGAATGAGAAGAAATTCAATAACATGAAGTAACAGGCAAACATATTCTTCCCGTGAAGTGAGGAAAGTTGAATGATGGCAGCAGAATTCAATGTCGGATTCAACTTCAGCTTCAAGTTCAATGACCCCTGTTGGAACTCGGATGCGAATTCTTGTTGTTTTGAGAAGGCTCAAAGAACAAGGGGATATGCTCGTTACTTCGTATACACAGCTTTTTCAGTGACACAGATTCCAACCCAAGGGCAGGACAAAGATCAGACCAGATGTTCCATGAGCGGTACCGCATCCCAGGGGGAATCATTAAGTGATTAGATCAAGAATCTCACCTCGGACAACTCCATCGCTGACCGGTTTTGGGCTTCCAATTACTACAATGTCGTCGGTTAAGAGACCATTGAGAAGCCTAAGGGAAAAAAAGGAAGAAGGGCAAAAAGTGAAGAAGCAAAAGTGTCATACCAATGTCACGAAAAGTTTCCTAAAAAGAACTCTGACATTGCGCCAACGGAATCCCTGAGCACTCATCAGTGCCTGGGTCCTGGATGGAACATAAAATGCTGCGCTGGTATGTGTTTAGAGAGAATCGAAACATAACTCATGCATTGAGTGATACTGTTACTGAGCATGGGACCGATATGCTTTGATGAAAAGATTCTTTTTTCATTCAGCAGGCTTGGAGCAGACAGCGCTTGATGCCTGGGCACCTAGGAAGAGTAATTTCCTCCGCAAGCAACGGCCCAACACTAGGGTATTACAATCCATCGTTATCAGGTCAGAAATGCAACCAAGAAGATTGGAATGCTAGTAGATGTAATTCACCTTGCTACTGACTGAAGCCAACACATAAAGTCTCAGCGCTTACACACATTCCTCTTTGAATCATCGTGCTTCCCACCACAGCGCACATCAGCATCTCTGGTACCTAGACCTCATTGACATGGTCATGTGACATGGAGTAAAGATCTATCTCTTCTGCGGTGAGATTAGTCCCAGTGAAAATTGTGCATCACTTAGTCCGCATTCTCTGCAACGCATACCTTTTCAAAGTCATATATCATTTGTTATCTAAGTGTAGCACACATCCCAAGAGCGAGTAAAGGAGCTTATCCTTGATGAGCTCCCCTCGCTCAGGCTCGCTGGTCCAAGGTTAGAGATTCGTATTTACGCACCCTCTCTGAAGTCGGATCACTTGGTGAGAAACACGGTTGTCATGCACCCTGCGATAAGTCCTTCGGTGCTTCACAAATCTTTCGATGGTAATGTTTACGGAAGTCAAATGGGTATTCGGTTTTGGTTGCGGCCTTCAAAGAAGCTTGAGGGAAAGATTCAGGTATGAATAGAAAGAGGGCTGCTGCTGCTATATTCTACTGTCCCTTGGGCCCTTAATTTGTTCCATTTCCTTTCATGTGTCCACATTCCGTCCCTGGAGAGATCCAAGATGCACATCATTCTACTCTTCTTTCTAGTACTAGGGGAAGAGCCCATTCCATGGAATTCGAATCTGCAGAGAGATACTCGCCGACTCATTGCCAACATGTGCAGTGAGATGGCGTACTACACGTATGCACGACAAGGTGGACAAATTTACTACAACGTACTACCGGAACCAAACTAGGTACTTCTGATATGGCCAGTACTTATTTTCTTGGTGTCTGGAACTTGAATCAACAGGAATTTGCAACCCGATAAGTGTGCTCAGAAAAGGAA